ATTATGACAGCTATATATGAAATAGTTATTTTAACATACATATATGTTCATAGTTTATACCAAAAAAGCTTTAAAAATTATTTAAAAAGCTTATAAAATGACTTACATATATACTTAGGTATATATATAGGTGGTTACCACTACATTGTTGTGTTTGGTCAAGTTGATGTATAGCATAACACATTGGTAGAGAAGTTTTTTTCGTCTAACATATCACAATAATTTATTTTGGGTCATATTTGTCTTCATTGATCAACTCTAATACAATAACATACAATCTTTTCTATGGTTTCTTAACATTACTACACATTTCTTAAAGTATGATTTATGTATATAGACTTTCAAAATAGGTCCCTGTTTTGCGAAATTGAATTGTTTGAAAATCAAATTTATATCACCAATATATACTTTCAAAATTTGTTAACAGAGGATAGGTGTTAAGACACAAATTGAGAGAATATAAATAAATAATAAAATTAAAAAAATAAAGATAGCTTAATAAAAGAAGGTAGGGACCTAGATCTATTATGGATCAAAAATACAATTAAGCCAATATCAACCATGAAATTGAATAGTCAAGAGATTAATAAAACTAAAAGAAGCCAATAAAATCAATGAGATTTAAGGATAAGATACACAAAAAAGTTCTAAAAAATATTGTTTCTGTACAACGATATACGATTAACGATACGATTAAATACTTACATCAATCCTTCCTTCGCCCCTTGGTTTAACTTTCTTATTATTTTCCAAATATTTATTTACTAACAATTTGACTTGTTGGTATTTGATAAGAAGTATATTAAATTAATATTATTAATTTAAATAGGCCTTCTCAATTTTAAGAAAATTTTTCTAATACTTTCACATATGAATGTCTTGTACACATTTTATATTTTTGATAATAATAAAGATATTATGTTCTGTTATTGTTTGTAATCGTATTTACGCTGTATACATTATCGCTTCGATTGTTTATTTTTGTTGGGTATTGTTTCTCTTATCTGAATTCAAATGGAATAAAGGTTTTAATAAGATTATTTGTTAATGAAATTGTTTTTAAAGCATTTTAGGTAGGATAATGGTTAATAGTATTAGCACATATGGTACTGTATAATACTAAATTTCACATCAATTTGTTTAGGTTTTAATGATTTAATGGCTATTATATTTCTGAGTCAACAAGTGTTGAATTTCGATGAAAAATCTTGTTGCAGACGATACTCAAGGAAGATAATTAATCAACTTTAGCGTTTCTGTTTTTATATACAAAAGCAAAATTTTTTATAAAAATGACATTCGAATTTCGTAATATTACATTTTTTTAAATAATTCTTTTTATTGCATTTTATAACTATTCGACTGTGGATACATTCAAAATAACTCTTAATTTATCATATATATTTGATCAAAAGTGTATAAATCAATTTTATTTATATTTTGTGAGTTCTAATCAGAACATATAATAATATAATGAGAACAATGTTTATAATAATAGAAACTATTTATGTCCGAATAAAAATATATATATATATATTTTTTTAAATCTACAGTTAAAATTTTAAGATCTAACGTCGTTCCACTTTATTGTGAAAATTTGGCCAGTGCAAAATTAATAAAATTTGGAGATTTATTTAGATTGAGCATAAAAATGAAGTGCCTACCTTTAGTTTATATATATGAATTTGAAATTAAAGTCCAAGACTAATAAATTTTAAAGATTTTTGAAAAAATGTTGTTAAAATATGCTGATCAACACTTATTCCATTTAATAGAACAGTAATTTTTATATTAATACAAATACTTGTTTCCCGGATTTTGAATTCCTTGAGTAAATAGATCAAATGGTTTACTATTTACTATATTGGATAAAAAACATATTCCTAAACATTTTCATTTAAATGTGTTGCCATCGAATTTGATCGTATAAACTTTCGCTTTAGAGATTCATAACAAAATATATACTTTTGCTTTACTAATATCCAGTTTTTTATACTAATATCCAGTTTTTGTTCCACTATTTACTATAGCATACTTTTTGTATGTATCATTGCTTCATATTTTGGATACGACTAACACAACTGTTAGTCGTATGTGCTAAATCAACTTGGCTTAAACTAGGCATATAGTGTTGTATAAGTAGGTTACTTGGAACTCGAAACTTTCCCATCTTTTTGTTTATCTTTCCAGCATTTGTCACACACTAGTAATTTAAATTATTTTGAAAACATAAATAAAATAAATTATTTTGTTTAAATAATTCAATGTTTTTATATATAATTTTATCTAATTTTTTTTTTTGAAGGTTCCGATATATGTGATATGATAGAAATAGGATGCTTTGATCTAATCAGCCACTGTATATGACTTCGAAATGATTTGAGTATTCACAAGATATGTGAATAAACTAAGTTCTTGAATTATGATTATAATTAATAGAACATGTTATAATAATATTAATAATAATAATATATACCAACTATGTGAATTTTGGTTACCAATTTGTCATACTGTCACTATCTTTATTTAAGTTTACATATTACAATTTTTTCATACTAGTCTATTTAAATATATAAAAGATAATATATATATATTTATTAACTGAATTAAGTATGTATTAAAATTTAACTCAATTTTTCTTGTATACGAAACTGTATGAGTAATAAGTGATATTGAAATAATTTTCGCAATTAATGTGTATATATATATATATATTTGTATATATGTGTACATTAACATTAACGTTTTAATTAGTCGTGAGCTGTGCAGGAGTTCACTCTCACATACATTCATAAAAATACTGTTGTACAGATAGTTAAAAAAATTGTTAAAAAATAATTTAACAGCATTATAGTAAAAGTATCCACAGTTGCAGTACGTTTACACCATCACAGCAATAACTGTCATTTTTCATAAAAAATCCACACAAAAACAATTCTAAGTCTATAAACATTTAAAAAACAAAATGAAAATGTAGCATTGACGCTTGAAAATTATTTTACAACTGTATATATAATATTTCATTTAAATTATGATAGAAACAAACTTAAGTTTCATATAGGTATTGCCAAATCATATGATTATGCTATGGGGCTTAAAAATTGCAAGCGTAGATACATATATATCTATATATATAGATATTTATTTTACTTTCTGTCAAATTATGTATATGACTATGATATGGGACTCCAAAAGCGTAGATATAGTGCTTTATATCTATTCTGATAAAAAAGAATCCATTTTACTTTCTGTCAAATTATGTATATGACTATGATATGGGGCTCCAAAAGCGTAGATATAGTGCTTTATATCAATTCTGATAAAAAAGAATCAATTTTACTTTCTGTCAAATTATGTATATGACTATGATATGGGGCTCCAAAAGCGTAGATACCTATAGTACTTTATATCAATTCTGATAAAAAAGAATCCATTTTACTTTCTGTTAAATTATGTATATGACTATGATATGAGGCTCCAAAAGCGTAGATACCTATAGTACTTTATATCAATTCTGATAAAAAAGAATCCATTTTACTTTCTGTCAAATTATGTATATGACTATGAAATGAGGCTCCAAAAGCGTAGATATAGTGCTTTATATCTGTTCTGATAAAAAAAATCTACTTTACTTTCTGTCAAATTATGTATATGACTATGATATGGGGCTCCAAAAGCGTAGATACCTATAGTACTTTATATCTATTCTGATAAAAGAAAACTACTTTACTTTCTGTCAAATTATGTATATGACTATGATATGGGGCTCCAAAAGCGTAGATACCTATAGTACTTTATATCTATTCTGATAAAAGAAAACTACTTTACTTTCTGTCAAATTATGTAGATGACTATGATATGAGGCTTCAAAAGCGTAGATATAGTGCTTTTTTATCAATTCTGATAAAAAATAATCTACTTTAGTTTTCTGTCAAATCATTTGATTATGCTATGGGGAACATAAGTTACAAACGTAGATATAGTATTTCATATCAATTCTGTTCTACGTAGAATATACGTCAAAGTACTCATAAAATAAAAAAGAAAATTTTAATATTATTTGATAAATAAAAAAATATGTTAAAAACTCAAATATAAATGAAAATTAAATTACTATTTGTACTCGTATGCACTCTTATTACCATTTCGTTATCGACATTTCATATATTTTAACAATTCTTTTCCACACGATGAGATACTTTTATACAGAGTATTAAAGTGGCAGAAAATGTGAATTAAGAAATTCGTATTAATTCGCAAAACTGAGAATTCTTACAATTGGCAAGAAATGAAATACACATTTTTAAGGGAAAATGTGCGAGAGCACACGAGTGGTAACATTTGTGAGAGCGCAGCAGAAAATGTATCTAAAAGTTTGCACTCAATTTATGCGCTCAGATACAGCATACAGCATCCGTTGAATGCAATTTATTTAAGTTTTGCGTATCTCAGCAATGTTAAAATAATCGAAAGCGGTCGCGCTCCGGCGTTCGACTAACTGTAAAAGTAGTAAATATACACAAAACATTTAAGTTGACATACAGATACGCGTCGTATCTGTAGTTGTAAAATTATACAAAGAATTGTTGTTGTTGCTATTGTTGTTGTTGTATTTTGTGTATAAAAGTTCCGATTCTTGTTATTATAAAATTATCGTTTGCAGTTTTATTGTTGTTGTAGTTGATGTAGTTGTTGTAGTTGTTGCTGATGCTGGTGCCGATGCTGTTGCTGTTTCTGTTGCTGTTGCTGTTGTTGAATGCTGCGCTTACTTGTGCTATGTTGTTGTATCTGATGGTAGCAAAATACTCAAACAATAGTTGTGGCAGGGCGTTTGCTGCGAACGAAAGTGGTGGAAAAATTTTTTAAACGAAACGAATATACAAGAAAATTACACCGAAATTACAAAACTACAATAAAAACAGAAATTAAATACATAAAAATTAACAAAAACAAAATAGTAACGAGAAAACAAAAGACAAGAAGAACAAAAACAAAAAAAAAAAACAAATCAAAATTGCAAATATTTTTGTGTGTTGTTTATTTAAAATCAACGTCATCGTTGGTTGTGATATGCTCAGATACATTCTGTTGCCTGCGTGAATTTGCTTGAATGTTTTTCACAATTGTATCTGTTGCTACTTTTGTTCTTACTGCTGCCATTGGCGCTGCTGTCGTTGCTGTTGTTAATTGAAATAAATTGGACTTTATTATTGTTAATAAAAATTTAAGTATTTACGCGGTATACAATCATTTTCTACGTCCATTTGTGCTAAGTTTTATGAAAAAAAATTTTTTTCCACTTTCGTTTTTTGGAAACGTTACAATTTTGTGTAAAATTTTTGTTCTCCGACAAATTTGTTAACAACAAGTAATACCAGAGTATACTGAAAATTCTGGAACGCAGTTCAAATTAACAGTTTTTATTGGTATTAATAGTAGTTATTGGCATTTATTGTGAAAAAGCATCGATCATCAATTAACTTTAAAAATAAATCTATTAAACAATTTTGGTTCGAGTACGTGTGGACATAAATATTTCGAAGTTTATTATTTACGAAGCTCGCAGTTTGCAGAAATTTGTTACAAGTGTTGGTAAGAAATATTCTGTTAGTGTTTATAAGTTCTAAAAAGTTCTCAAAATACACATATTATGGTGTTTATTTAATATTTATGCATTAGTGATTTCATAAATTTATGAAATAATTTATTGAAATTTTAAAGAAAAACTGAAGGAGCTATAAACTTTATAGCATGTTAAAGCTACTTTAGAAAACTATTTCAAAGTGAATTGAACTAAAATATTTTTCGTATATATTAAATATATAATTTTAAAGTAAATAATTGTTTAGTACACTATGTAATAGCGATCTTTCAGTACGTATCTCTCATTTACATCCATCCGTTATGAAATTACTTATCTACAAAATTGTTAAACACACGAGGGGAAATAAAAAATTGTCCAATTTAGTTGTGTTTCAATCTTTTTTTATTAAAATTTAAAATTATATTCTATTTAAAGAAAAAAAACCTAAAATGTGTCTATATAATATATAGTATATTACAGAGATTATATATTGAAATATAGCTATAAGGACGAAGGCTAAATAATTTGACTTCAATCTTTTCTTTCTTTCTAGTAAAATATATTCTAGAAAGATATATATTCTGGTAAATATATAAAATTAATATTGTCATGAACTATTTCAAGTAAAATAATTATATATACAGACAAAGAGTGATTATCCTACGTCTTGAACAAACTAAAATATTGATAATAATGAGCAATCACAGTAATAACTTATTATAATAATATTTAGTATTACTTTTATAATATTATTTTCTCTTAAGATTGTGGTAATATTGTTATATATGCACAATTAATATTGTGAAAAACAATGCAACTTGTTAAAAAAAAGGTTTTCTAAGATGGTTTTCTTTTTTCATAATATTATTATTACAAATAGTAGAATAGTATAAAATAGTATTAAAACTTAACAATTAAAAATTATAAAAATATAATTAATTAATTCAATTATTCTACACGCTGGTTTATAATTTCGTTCTAACATAAACACAGCCAGTGAATTTGTTAATAAAACTTCCACAGCAAAGCAACAAAACTCCAGAAAAATGAGCGAACATAAAAGGCAAGTACGGGTTTGGATCAGCTGGTTAAGGCGCACTGACTCTGAGCTTCAAATTTGGCAGGACACGAGTTCGATTCCTGGTACTTGTAGTCTCAAAAAATTATTTACGAATAAATAAATTCAAAAATTATTTCCAAGACCGCTGATGATGGGTACTCGAAACTCGAAACAGCTGTACGGTCAGTCAAAAATTCAATTAATTAAAATAATATAAAATAAATTTTTGTTGTTATAGTTCACTACTGTTCGAAAAACCTCTTTATAATATTATTATTAAATAATATTCGCTAACCATTCGAAATAAAAATTTTCAATATTGATAGTAATTGCTACATAGGTATAAGTATTTTAGAGTTTAGTAAATTAATATAAAGCTTCAACTTATAAGGGTAATCTAAATAAATTGCAATTATCTCAAAAAACTTCATTTATATTTAAACTAAAATTTAATTGAACCAATAGAAACAAAATACTTGTTCAAATTTATTATAAATTATCTATGGCTGCCTTTGGGGCGAATTATAAGTTCGCTGTTGATAAACGAGTCGTTTGTGGAAGGAATGTGAACTGTGTTGAGCACACGTACTCTGATAGTACCAGCATTGGTCTACAAAATTCTTCAGTGCCAAAAGACGAGACCATTGTATGGTCGAAATAAGATCTAGAACTCGTCGTCATTTGACGGTGCCAAATTTTATTAAAACGTCGTCTTTTTCTAAATTTTAGAGGTGTTTAAGCTCCTGTGACTATTAGAATATCTAAATTTCTTTTAACTATTCTATTTGATAAAATTGAATTTGCACAATTAACACAGCGGATTCGCTTTAAGTTCACTTCACTTTAAGTTTAAATTCAACAAAATAAGTTCCTATTGTTACATAAAATTTAAATGATTAATTTATCTTTCTTTTCGCCTATACCCATCCGAATCCCACCTCGAAGTTCGTTGCTGTGCGGACGAGGAGAAAATTTTACACCATCTTATGGGTTAGTGTCCATCGTTGTCATCTAGGATTCAAAATCTTCGGGATTCTTTCTCTTATTGTTCTGACAGAGCTACCATTTCGCAAAATGATTGATTTAGCCAAGTTTATAGAATTTGTTTCCAATACCGGTACATTCAAGTTAAACTCGCTCAAACTCCGTTATCCCCCCTCTCTCTTTTTCTCTCTCTTCATTTCTATTAGGAACCCTATGAATAAGAATGACAGATAACATTTCTTTTAATGTCAATTGAATTTGAATTTAAATAGGGAAATACAGATGTTATGAAATACACAGAAAGGGCGAATATGCATAGTTGACGAATGCTTAATGTTCGGGCAACGCATTCTTAATGAAATTCATCGAGGTCATTAAAGGCACAGGTCGTACAAAGATCAACTATCAGATCAGTTATCGTCAATGAAAAGTGCTTAGCATTTCGACTCTACCAAACACCATCTAAGAATGTTCAATAATCAAACAAAGAATTCGATAAATTTCATGCCCCTTAACCTGAGAGGCGCAATAAGGCAGTTGTTCCGTATAACCGACCACTGCGTATCAGAAATCCTATTGATCGATTTCGACTCTATTAAATCACCGCCATTTTAGATTCAATCTCTAAAGGGAAGGTGTTGGCAACCCTATAAATAAGAATCACACGTGACATTTCTTATGTCAACCGAATTTGAATTTTAAAAGAGAAATAAAAATATTGTGAAATACACACTACGCCAATAACCGAGTAAGTTTGCTTAATTATAATCCAGTAGACTGTTTAATCTCTAATTATTTTATCAGCAGATTGTATAAAACTCTGTAGGTATTGGCTCTGTCATAGAATGGTCTAAAAGTTTTATGCAGTAAAGGTAACCGATAGGTATAGAGATTTTATCGTGCCTGAAACATCAATTCTTCAGCATCATGATAATAATAACATTATACGGTACACTAACCTTCTAACTTTCTTTGAAACATTTCTACCTTTCGCTCACTTTCATTATTATGTCTGTGAAACAAATTAGAGTTATTTTATAATAAAAGTATATTTTTACTAGTTTATGTTTATGTTATTTTAAAACTCTATTGCTCTGGTTAACTATAAAGATTAGCCTATATTTTATGATTAATTACTTAATTTAAGTAATTTGATATTATCTAGTTGCTATATATATACATATATATGATTAACATTACTAATAAAAAAAATATGTATACATTATATTTTTCTGCTAGTAATGTTACCATTATATATACGTATACATATGTACATACATATATTATTTTTTTTATCAGTAATGTTGTACTACATGCTTTAAAGGGTTATGGAGGTGTGTTACACACAATATTTGATATATTTATTTCATTATATTTAAATAATATATACTGCATATTATAAATTCCTATAAAAATGTTTATTTATATGACTTAAGACCTTTTTTATAATTGCTGCATTTTCAAAGTTATTTTACTGCGCAATATGCAGTAATATATGCAATCCTATTATGTTTTAAGTAACTACTCTCCTTTCAATATATAATAAGTTCAATGACTCCATTGCAACTCAATCAATTGAAAATTAACCCCTTAATTAATTGGAAAATTAAAAATATTAACGAAATATTTAACATTATCCTTGCAGCATCCGCTAAGTAAGAGCATGCGCCCTATCGAAATTGGTAGTGGATACTTGTTGCCAACACACTTACAAATAGTTAACAGCAACTGCCAACAACGTTAGCCACTAACAGTGGCAAGAGAGCAGTGTAAATAAAATAACATTACAGTAACAGAGCTTACACATGAAACGGAAGTGCACAGGTTGGAGTTGCCAATATAAATCAAAACAAATTAAATCCTATAAGAATAATAAAGTAAATAAAATGGAAACTTCATTCGCACGGCACAATATTGAAAAACGTCGTCTAATAGATTTGGTGCATTTGAATCCAATATTGTGGGATTGTCGGCTGCCGCACTATAAAAGGTCCGATAAGAAGAAGGCTATTAAATGGAATGAACTTGGACGTGTTTTTAATGTCAGTGGCGAAAGAGTGCAACGCACTTTCACATCATTGCGTGAAATCTTTCGGCGAGAATTAAACCATGAAAAATTGCTCGGGAGTCATTTCAAATCAAAGTGGGAATATTACGATGCAATGACATTTCTGAAGGAAGTTATACGTGAACGGAAGTGAGTATTAGAAAAATAGATGTTTATATTGAAATTGTAATTTATTGAACTTACTATGTTATAGATCCCGTGAGCGTCCACGACAAGCAGACCTACAACAACACAGTAACAATAGCAGTGCTATAGATGAGTATCAATATTTTGCACCGAACGACCCAAATAATCCAAATAATCAACATCAGCCAAAGCAAACACAAAAAATGCAACAGACAAATACACAAAAGGAAAATGTCAATACGAATGAAACAAATATACAACAATCAACAAATACAAGTCAACCCGATGTTGTACTCGGTATAAACAACAACAAATATACAAAACGTACATCAAATGGTGGACCACCATCTCCACATACTATATCCACAATACCCTCCTGTTCTTCATCACCATCAATTTATATAAAAGAAGAAGATGATGACGAGGAAAATAATCTAATTATACAAACCCCACCACACCCGCATAATTCTAATAAAAATTCAACTCCCATTGAAAATGCAAACAATTTAACTAATCAAGAATTTCATAATCAAAATTTTAGTATGAAATCCAAACAAAATAAAATTCAACAGCAAACAATGTCGAACAATTTGATCAATGATATTGATATCGATGACGACGATCTTGTTGATGACGATGTGGAAATGATTGATGATCACCTATCCAGTGCTAGCACGTTGCAGGTTCTTAAGCATCAGCCAACAGCACGTGAAATACTCTACACGAAATTCGGTGAATTCTTATCTGCCAGACTGAATACTCTGAACGAGACTGCTGCAAATGATTTAATCAACAAGATACTTCTATTAATCGCAGAAAAATAAAATTATCCAAGTAATATTTCCTTTAGTCCAAATTTTCGTTTTAGTTATTAAGTCAACAAAACTCTTTAGACTTTCAAGCAGTGATATTCGAATTTTTTATCTTTTAGAGTTCAAAACTATACTCAGATCAAAGAAAAGTAATTATTACATTTAGATGTGTCTTTTTGTATTTAGTAAGCATATAATTCTAAGTTCAATATAAATTTATATATACAAAAATTTATATTATAAAACATATAGAAAATTAAATTTATAAACTTTATGTAGTAAAATTTAAAGTATTTCTTAGAAGCAGACCGAATTTTATTAATTACCATATAAGAGAAAGAGTTTTTAAAATTAGAATATTAAGTATACTCTCAGCTTTGTAATAATGTTTAGATAATTTTATAATTTTTCATATTTTTATTTATTTTATAAAATAAACTTTATAATTAATTATTTCTTTTAATTAGAAATCAACTATTTTCCTATTTAAAATAAAAATAAATGCATTTCAAAATTTAATTTGAGTATTATATTAAGCAAGATTTATTTCTTTAGCTTGGTTGAATAGTTGTATATAGTATACAGTATAGTGAAGTTAAAGGTATATATAAATAATCAAGAAAGTGAAATCCTGTTTTTCAATATATATGGTAACTTTAATATATCGATATCGATAGACACAGAAATGTTATTCTACCTTTAAAAAACCGTTTGTAATGTAAAACCGCACTTAAATTCAAGATCCAAGTATTAAAATTTAAAGTAATAATTGAATAGTTCTGTACGCTTTCCAGCTTCACACTAAAAAAATACAACACATACTGCATTTTGTCTACTTCAAGAGTTTGTCAGGTCTGCTTAATCTATTTTGTCAAAAAAATAATATCAATTTTTTTAAATTTAATTTTGCATTACTTCAATACCTTAGGTAAATTTTTTTAATAACTTTATGTCCAATAAGCATATGTCTTTGGAGTCGGTAGTCCTTGGAGTTATAAGTTTCGTACAATTCCCAACGGTACTCCAAAGACACATAAATACTATAAAAAGTATCTTTAAAAAATTTAATTTATTGATTAGATACATTACTTTAATATCTTACATGAATTTCATTGTTTTTCTTTTCCATTATGTTTTTGTGGTAGCAATTCATTAAGTAAAAAATATCTGTTTTATATTCTAAATGTTCTTGATTTTTTATAACTTACTTCCTAGGTCTTGAAATAAGTCAATTACATTTAAAAAAATTGTAGTTTACCCATCGCTGCTTTATGTTTCAGAGCAAAAATTAAATATAAAAGATAATTCACGACATGTTCATTAAAATTTGATATAGGAGATTTGGATTGGCTTTCGTATACGGGTATACGTGATTCGGCTGAAAAAGGCAATATTCCAGCAGTTATATTGTGTAGTTCCACTGCCTTAAGGAGCTGCGATGCAACATATTTTGGGGTTGTATCTGTATCTGTATTCATCTTATTATAACTTATAACAACTTATAATAAGAAATGATAATAGCCCAAAAAAAATTTTTTTTAGGAATAAAACTATTCAAAAGAAATTAGTCTATTGAATCATTATCATATATATAATCATATATTACAGAAATTGCTCTGTTTACTTTGATTATGTAGATATGATATGTAAATGTACGAGAGTTGTAATTCCAGTTTTAACGTAGTTAGTCTGTGTCATTTCACTAATGCAGTAAAATGTTTGCTTCTCGACAACTTTTGGAGTAAAGTGGTATCTTAACAACAGTTGTGATAGATGCATAAACTCTTTTGGATTACGTATGTACATTTTTGAAAAACTGAGAACGCGAGTAATGCGAAAGACCTTCACTTGCTATTTCTACAAAGTCAGCAATATTGTTTATCATTATTTTTCGAGCTTCCATCATAAGACCATGGGTTTTATATATTATATTCAAAGTCGCTACCACATTTATGTTAGAACCACTTACAAATATTGGTGTCGATTTAACTTCAACGAAAATCGTTTAATTACGTTTAAATACACCATAAAATGTAGCAGTTTTTATATTGGTCTTTCATTCAATACTTTTACACCAGTAATAATGTGTACTTTTACTCAGTGATTTCTTATCACCAGATAATGGATTTTATCCATCGTAGCTCAAGTGGCTTCTCTATTTGGATGAGAATCATTCAACATCCTTGATGTGTATGCGACCTCAACAAAATTTTATGAATTATGTTTATTTGGATAAGAACCATTCAACATTCGTGATGTGTATGCGACCTCAACAAAATTTTATGAATTACGTTTAAATATATAATATATAATAAATTAATATTTAATGAAGCTGAGTCTCCATATTGCTTGTATATTTAATATTTTTACAATATCAGCAATTTTGCGCACTTTCAATTGGTGCGCTTCCACCATGATTTTATCCATCTGAAGCCGTTTTCACTTTTTGGTTAATATCTTTGGTCTTCGTCTTCTATCTTTTCATGCAAACGCAGACTAATGGATCGTCGCCAACTTAGTCAACCAACCACAACAAAACTCTGTAAAGTACTTTTAAAAGATGTCATCTAATGAATCAAAAGTTTCATATTGCTAGGGTATTCCTTCTTTCAGAAATATTGTTTTTCCTCTCATTAACAGTGAACATTTAACGTTTTATGCAGATAGGATAAGTTGAGTTAGTTGAAGTTACAAACGGAAAATAATTAAAATTGTTAAAAATTGTTAAAAAAAGGGACTGTATATAAAAGGAAAATTATGGAGTTCTTTTATTTGAAAGAAGAGGGGATTAAAATCGTAAAAACTTCATTTCAGATTTCAAAATATAAACAAAAAAATTTACTAAAATTACTGATTCGCACTGAAAATTAAGGGGAAGTGGGTTTAGCACCTTTTTAATCTATGTCGATGATACGTACTAATCTGTATTGACAGAAAATAAAAGTAGTGATTAATAAATATATTAAAATAATCAACCTAATAGTTAACTTCCCAAATAAAAAAATACTTTCGAGTTAGTTTAATTTTTGTATTACAAAAAAAAAATAATTTCGTTAATTCAATTATTTAAACTAAAATTTTATTTTCCATAAATAAACTCGAAATTTTTTTCACTGTTTTTTTCCTCACACAAAAATGTTTTCAAATCCGTTTTAAGTACTTAAAATTTTCGTTTGTTTTTATTTTCGTACGCCTAAAAGTTGATAATCAAAATTGCTGCCAAGAAAGAAATATGGGCGATGCATTTAACTTTGTTACATTTTACAACGAAATCCATTTAACACATCCGATTTGGTACGTAAAAATGTTGAAGCATAAAGTTGGTTTGGGCGCCCTTAAATATGTTTTAAATCTTTTCTCTAGTTTTTTTTTTGTGTAAGCCAAATGTTGTTCCTCCATATCGAGTGCGTGATATGTAACTTTTTGACTTCCGTTTAGAGACGTAGACCAGCGGATTTTCTGGCTGGCAGGCTGGGGTTTATTTGTTTGCGGAAAAGGCATGGAAAACTTGCAAAATAAAAGTAGTTGAATTTTACTTATTGTTTACATAGGAGAGTATGTGATTGTAAGTTTGTGGATATATGAAATTCATATATGGAAATGTATGGAAATATGAAAATCGTGTTCTCCAACGTTTGTGGGCGAGTAAAAAATCATTTCTATAACATATTTTTTTTTGTTTTTGCATTTAAACTATAAAATTTTTAAAATAATATTACATATATTAGAGTTTTTTTTGTTGAGTTTCTCAAGTGGTCTGAACAAAGTTTGAAGGGTGGTTTGTACGTATATGGCAACTGTGAAATTTATTAAATAAAGAAGGATTATTAGATTGTACATAACTTTATAAAAATATAAAGTAGCTTTTACGATAAATTTAAAATTGCATGAAAATAATAAATGTTTTAAAAACTTTTCAATACTTTATAGACCTTATTGCCAAAATTATTGAATAGTCTAATAACATAAACTTATAGTATTTATAATTACAGTATTTTAATAATAATATAATAATTAAAAATATTATATTTATTTATTATTAATATTTATAATATCTTTTAGTATTTTACTTATATATAATATAAATAATATTTGTATACTATTAATATCATTAACATATTATTTATATTACATATAATAATAATATAGTCATATATATAATATACAAGTGTACAAAATATATACTTATTTTAATATAATACAGTAAGACCCTGCTTAACGCCTGGGACACGTTCCATCAAAGTAGAGCGTAATGCGAAACAGCGCAAAACGAGGCAATGTTAACATGTAAATATTGGGGTTAGGGAAAGATTGATAGAAAATTGTTTAGGTATTAAATTTAATAATTATGTTTTTTTAATAATAATAAAACCAAATATTTATTTCTTACAAAAACAAAAACAATGTTATTCAGTCTATTCTGTTTCCAATCTTCTGCCTTTTTGTCAAGAAGGCATCTAATGTAGTATGCGATTTTTCTTTTGCGTTCTGCTAAAAGTTGTTGATAAGTGGATAAAGCATCTATAACACCCCATCTTAATTTTGAACTCCTGTCAAAATTTGGATCAATTTCAACAAATTGGTCCATAATTTTAGTTGTAGTGGTCAAATTCCTTTTCACAAACAATATCGAAAGTTCTTTTCGCTCTTCTTCGAATTCACTACTATCAATATTTTTGTTTTCTTCTTGTTCAATTAATTCCTTGAGGTAGTCATTAGAAAAACTATCTGCTGTTTGTTGAACTATTTCTTTGACGTCTTCCACTTTTACCTCATCTAAACCAGTTTATTTCGCTAATTCCACTATTTCTATCACTATTTCATCCATATCGAGAGAGGGTTGAATGTCTTTGCTCTTACTTAAATCCGGTCAAATGTTCTTCCATACTCTTTTCAAAGATCTTTCTGTTATCTTATTCCAAGAAGGGTTTATGTTTTCTACAACTTTCATGATATTGTAGTTTTTCTTATGGAGTTATTAAGTTATTCTCTTATTGATTGTTTATCTTCTCCGACTATTTTTTCAGAACATCTGCTTAAATGTTCGGGTTGAAATAAAACCGAAACAGCGTTTAACGAAACAGCGTTAAGCGGGGTCTTACTGTACTATGTTTTTGTTCAGCTTAAATACTGCGGCGACTCAACACTTTGAGCGCCCCCTTTCTTGACAATCTTGATCAATTATAAGACCTGACACTAAATAGGCTTCGCTAAAAGTTCTAGGTGGATTACGGAAACACAATGGGCCAATGGGTCTAAGTGGATCCAACAAGTATCGCCGGTATAACCTAACCTAACCTAATATTATAAATATTTGTAGAGTGTATTAAAATTGTTAATGTTTATTAACTTTTTTAATATTTCATTGTGTATTGTATTGTTGCTTCATTCTTCTTCATATTAAGCAAATTTACATATCATATTAAATATAACAAAGTATCTGAAACTATTAAATACACAAGAAATAATCATGTAACCAAAATTTATTTTGTAGTCAATCGGTTGTCATGCCACTATTCATGAAAGCGCTTGACTTAATATTCATGAAAGGGCTTGACCTAGTAGTCCATACAATTTTCGTAGAGTGATATTATCTGTATTAGATATTATTTTCAATTTCTTCTGATGATTTTCTATCATGACAGTCATTTGTTTGATATGCTTTTTACGTATTGGTATTTCAGCTTCGGGAAATAAGTCACATGTAATCAATTTCATTAAGTACAGTGCGTAGTCATTTATATTTGTAGAGGTTTTTTTAAATATAAATGTCGTACATTTTTTGCATTGACTTTATATATAGATTAGAGTCTTTATAAAAATTTCGAATTTTTTTAAAATTTATTTAAACCTATGCACTTTCTAAAATATGTTGAAAGGACATACCTATTCTAATTCATATTTTTGAATTTATATAAACAGTTATAACCGTTAAGTGCAAAGTTGGCAGCAGAATTGATGTTAAAAGAAGACCTAAGATGGCATAGTACTAAAAGCATTTATGACATATATAAATTCATGTGTAAAATAATTTAATTATAGCACACAAAAATTTTATTTATTTTATACTCATCGATTGAATCACTTCGTAATTATCTGGAAACAATGCGATTTTGCTGACTTTTTTTTGCTAAAGAACTAGGAAATTATTTTAAAATAGTTTTTTTTACTTTTATTTTACTTTAATATTAATGCTTAATTTAATTTTTTTTTTGTTTCAGTTGCTTTTTAAAATTTTTTTATTTTTACGCGGTGCACCTGCGACTGCACGCTGTTTTGGAAACTTTTTTGAACGCTTCCTCTTGTAAATGTTTCGTTTATTGTTTCCTATTCTTCCGATATTGCAGGTTTTATCCTCTACATCAGCGGAGTACTACTCAGTCCAATCAGCCCTTCCTATGTTATTGGTTTTATTCGTATTCTCAGTTATGTCATCACTACCTGGCAGATTATCTCCAGTTTTTTATTTGTTATGAATCGTTATGAATCTTTTGTATACACGTTTATTGCTT